ACGTTTACTAAGTGGGACAAGTTATCCAGTTGGATAATAAACGGTAAGATTGTCTTTCAGGATGTGATGCCAATCAAGGAAGAAAATGAACAATCAAATGGACTGGACAGAGCACGTGCGTAAATGCAGTGGTGTTCAGCACAAACTGGAGCGTTCAGCAAATTGAGTGTATTGCAACAGCAAATTTCATCCCAGTAGATCAAATGAATTTCTAATTTTGTACATTATGTTAGTAAATCCTGGGACTTAATCAGTAATTAACAAGGTATAAAAAGCAGTTTTCGATTTATTTGCCAAAGTAATTTCTTCAAAAGGATTTTATTTCGGTAAAACCTCACATTGCTATTGGCCTGTAAGCGCGTCACCGACTGGCGTGTTGAGAATCTTTTATGTCACCAGGTTACACGTCTTCTGGAAACCACAAGACTGTTGCCTTTAATTTTGTGAAATATGTACAAGTTTCACTGGTGCAATGCAGCAGTTTACCCGCTTCAAATTCGTTCAATGACATTTGAGTAATGGGTATTGGGCTTAGGAAAGACAATCGTTACGTTTCAAAAAGTCATTCATTCCCACTTCTACTCGAGTCCTCTCTTAGCCATTTTGACTGCTGGCTCTTTTAAGCACCTGAACCCAGGCGAGAGAACCGATTGAAATTTGAGCAACAGGAAATCAGGAAAAAATGGAACAGGAAAAGTAATTAGCTGAAATTTGATAGAAGAAACGAAAGTTAGTGCTACTTCCCAAATGTCACCGAACGAAGAAAAAAATACAAATGCTTGTAGTCACAATTCTGTAATTGGCACAGGATATTCCGAAATAATCCTAAAATTATCATCCGCACAGCTTTTTGGCAACGTCTGCGGTATTGTCGCAGCGGGGGGTGGTGTTGGATGAACAGGACGAGCTCGTTCGTAAGCACTGTACTGTGCCGGAAAGGTTACGCTACTGTAGTAACCTTCTTCGTCGTACACATCAAAATTTCGCGAGAAACCTGAAATTCTAAAAATTTGAGAAAACTACAAGAAGTATGAGAAACCTCAATTTTTGTTGTGAATTCCTGGATCTTAAAAAGAGAACAGGAACGGATTTGCTGGGCACGAAATCAACTAAAATATTGTGCAGATCTGTTCGGCTGCTCAAACAATTCAAGTCAGAAATTGGAAAAGCTAGAACGCTAGAACTTTTAAATTTGTCTTACATGCTGACAGGTCGATGATTAATTTTTTTTAAACGTATAACTGTTGCATCAGTCAAGCAATACAAAAAATGCCAACCATTTGATGCGCTGTGATTTGCTGTCGTATAACAGGTTTGCTCTGACAATAAGTCAGATTTATCATTTATCGGTGAAGAGTTCAGGAACGGTCTGCTGTAGAACTGTGTGCGGCACTTCGTTGGGCTGCAGTAGCTCGTGGAGGAAAATTTACTACACGGATGTAGATATCGACGAATGCAGATTCCTAGCACAAGAAGCACTGTAACTGCGAGCAACGAAGCGCCAACAACAAGCAGACTCAGCTGTGACTCGTTCATTGTTTTGCAGCTTCCGGACTAAATGAAAATTTGTAGGAAAGCGAAAGAACGCCTCGATCTTCACTTTAGGCTTATGCTGTGTTTGTTGTATAGCAGCTCCACCAGCAGGAAAATCATTCTCTGTGCAATTTTCGATAATTAATTGGTATTGGTTATGTAAAAGGGATAAAAACTGCATATGCACATGCTTTAAATGATTGTCACAAGAGAAACTATTGATGGTTACTGTTGAGAAATGCATATCGCTATGCTGCTTCTGATTCTTTCTGTCTGTCAGACAGAGTGGAAAAGATTTCGGCTTTGATTTTAAAAAGTGATGAGAAGGAAGTGCCAGTTGCTGTTTTTATGCGTTTTTACGATGTAGGGCTATGACATTGTAACAGTCCACAAAGGCATATTATGACGACTCTGTCTCTGTGTGTGTTTTGTATGTTTATGCACACATGTTTGTGTGTGTGTGTGTTCGTCTGTTCGGGTATGTCAACTCGACAACGAAGCAAGGTTAGATACTGAAACTCCTTCGGTGAGTTGCTCGGTCAAGTGCGACTCCGCGATCTTTCTTTTTTTGATATCAATTTTCACGCGCATTTAGGTCTCTTTGGCGGAATTGCTAAATGACAGCCAGAAGAGCTAGAAAGCTGAAATTTTATGAGAATGTTCTTTGTCAAGTACCATCCAAATTATTTCAAATTCATCTCCTTAGTGGGTTCAGATTTCGCATGCGGACATGTGAAATTTCCGACGGAAAAATTACCAACTCGGGTATCAGAAAGACTAAGAAGCTCAGTTTTTAAGAGGATGTTCTCTTTCTACGTGCGAAGGACAGCATGATTAGCCAGCTACAAAAACGCATGTTCGCAGCAGCAACCAGTACGAGCCGTTACTAGCTTATTCAAAAAGAGCTTATTCTGGTGGCTTTCCTTCCACTGTCTACTATGAACCTTATGTTGATAATAACCCACAAAGTTTTTTAAAAAGTCAAATTATTCATATTTCACTGGCGTCTCAATACTTTTCTAATCCATTTGTCTACAACTTGCTATATACGGCTGTAACAAGTTTTAAAGTAAAATTTCAGCTTCCAAATCTAAATTTTGGAAAAAAAAAACATACCAGCTGCGAGATACTTTCATCGAAAAGCCGTGGTGGCGTGAAACAAGATGCATCAACTGAAAGGGACCGAAGTACATCCGGAAGGAAAGACAATAATTCACAATCACAGTGTAATGGATTACCGGATATATTCAAGGATTTCAGTCTGAAATAGGTTTGTTTGTAATGGATTGGCTTTCAGCAGCCTGATGTCTCAAGGTAGCATAAAAAAAGCCATCAATCCAACAGTTCAATATATGAATATCCTTTTTGACCGGATGACCTTTATGGAGGAAGCATTTTGCACGTAACTAGAGCTTTAACCAAACTAAAATCATTCTAGTGCCCTACTAGCATTTTATTTTGTTTCCAGCTGTTCAGAATCTTCTGAGCAAGTTCGTATTTTTTTTTATTTCTGGCCTCCCAATTTTTTAAGCCCGTCTTGTATCACTAAGCTATATTTAAAAT